TCTTTGGACCCAGCTACTTATGTATTTTCTTCTTCCCGGGACTCTCCTTTGAAGGTAAGGACTGTATGCCTAATTTCTCTAGCAGTTAGAGCTATATCTAATACATAGTTTGGGCTCAGGAAATATTGGATGGATAGGTAGAAAGGTGGGTACCTGGGTACTTCGAAAAAAAAAAGAAAATGGAATATAAAAGTACAGAGGATGCAAGCTGGTTCAGCCACTCTGGAAAACAGTATGGAGGTTCCTCCAAAAGTTGAAAATAGAGCTACCCTATGATCCAGCAATAGCGCTACTGTGTATTTACCCTAAAGATACAAATGTAGTGATCCGAAAGGGCATGTGCACCCAAATGTTTATAGCAGCAATGTCAACAATAGCCAAACTATGGAAAGAACCTAGATGTCCATCAACAGATGAATGTATAAAGAAGTGGTATAAATATACAATGGAATACTATGCAGCCATCAAAAGAAATGAACTCTTGCCATTTGCAATGATGTGGATAGAACTAGAGGGTATTATGCTGACTGAACTAAGTCAATCAGAGAAAGACAATTATCATATGATCTCTCTGCTATGAGGAATTTGAGAGGCAGGGCAGGGGGTTGTGGGGGGTAGAAAAGGAAAAAGTGAAACGAGATGGGATTGGGAGGGACACGAACCATAAGAGACTCTTAATTCCAGGAAACAAACTGAGGGTTGCCGGGGGGTGGGTGGGTGGTAGGGATAGGGTGGCTGGGGTTATGGACATTGAGGAGGGTATGTGCTATGGTGAGTGCTGTGAATTGTGTAAGACTGATGATTCACAGACCTGTACCCCTGGGACAAATAATACATTATATGTTAATTAAAAAAAAAAGTACAGAGGATAGGAAGGTCAAACATACAGGATTCTGTGTGTGTTGGGGGTGGGGGACCCACCAATGAAGGATTTAAGCTGCAGTCAACAATGCAGCAATTTCTAACAAATTCTTGAGCAATATAAAATTGATGTATCTTGTAGTTTTCTTCAGGTTTTTTTTTTTTTTATGTTTAGGGTTTGTTGAGCATCTTTTATCTATGGGTTTACAAATTTACTTAAAAGTAGATTTTTTTTTTTTTGCCGTTATTTCCATCTTTTACATGTTTGAAGATTTGATTATTAATGCTCTTTAAAAAAAAAGGTGCCTCAGTGGCTCAGTCAGTTAAGCATCTGCCTTCTGCTCAGGTCATGATCCCAGGGTCCTGGGATTGAGCCCCACATTGGGCTCCCTACTCTGTGGGGGTTGGGGGGCGGCTTCTCCCTCTCCTTCTGCCTGCTGCTCCCCCTGCTTGTGCTCATTCTCTGTCAAATAAATAAAATCTTAAACAAAGAAGTAAACCCAACTCTTTTTCTGTTTGATTTTTGGATAGTTTCTGTTGCTATGTCTGCAATTTCACTAATCTTTTCTTTTGCAGTGTCTAAATTGCTATTCATCCCATCCATACTATTTTTCACTTCAGGCACTGTAGTTTTCACCTCTGAAAATTCATTTTGAATCCTCTTAATGTCTTCTATATCTCTACTTAACTTTTTGGAATATATGGAATACTTATAATCATCTGCTTTAATTTTCTTGCCTGCTAATAATTCTAACATCTTTCTCAGTTTTGAGCCTATTTTAGATTAATTTTTCTCCTCTTTATGGGTTGTATTTTTTTTTTTTTCTTTGCATCTCTGTATACTTGTTAATTTTTGACTAGATGCCAGACATTTTGAAGTTTACCTTGTTAGGGGCTTGTTATTTTTGTATTCCTATTTCTTTGAGGTTTGTTCTAGGAGCAGGTAATTTACTTGGAACTGCTTTATACCTTTTGAGTTCTGCTTTTAAGATTTTTTAGGTGGTCTAGAGCAGAGTTTAGTCTAGGCATAATTATTCTCTGCTGAGACAAGATCCTTCTGAGTACTCAGTGTCCTGAGTCCGACTGGTAGGAACAGGCGTTACTCCCAACCTTGTGTCAGTGCCTGCTGCGTTGTCCTCTAAGACTTTTGAATGGTTTTTTTTTCACGTGCATACTCTGCTGAACATTCATGGAAGTCTGACTGAGGATATTTGTAGTTCTTTATCTGGGAATCTCTCTGTCTCTCTCTCTCACTCTGCCCCGAGAATTCTAGTCCTGTTGTTCTCCCCAGACAACCTGTTCTTTTTTTTTTTTTTTTAAACTGAGGGAGACTGCTGAGCTTTACCTGGGATTCTCCTGCTTGCTGGGACCCTACTGAAGCCTGGAAACCCTTTGGGCTATAAGTTGGGAAAATTCTAGGACTCCTATATTTTATTTACTATTTCTAGAGATTACTGTCCTTTGTTGTTGGATGTCTAGTGCCTTGAAAATTATTGCTTCCTCTGTTTTGTCCACATCTTTTGTTGTTTCAGGCTAGATGGTAAATCTAATTCTTCACTTTTTGGTTTGGTTAGAAGAGGAAATCTGTTTTTCCTTCTTTAACTGGGTTTTATTAAAAAATTTTTTTATTTATAGTTGTGGTAAGACCACATTACGTAAAATTTACTGTCTTAACTATTTTTAAGGATACAGTCCAGTAGTGTTAACTATATATACATTTTTGTGCAACAGTTCCCTGTAACATTGTCTTGTAAAACTGCAACTCTGTACCCATTAAATAGTTCCTCATTACCTGTACACCTGTGTGAACCATCATTCTATTTCTGTGATTTTAACTACTTTAGATACCTCATATAAGTGAAGTCATATGGGATTTGTCTTTTTGTGACTGGCTTATTTTACTTAGCATAGTGTCTTCAAGATTTATTCATGTTGTAGCATGTGATAGATTTCCTTTTGTTTCAAGGCTAAATAATATTCTGCTATAACTGTATATCAAATTTATTTATTCATTTGTCTGTTGATAGATATTTGCACTGCTCCCACCTGTTAGCTGTTGGAATAATGATGTTATAAGCATGGATGTGCTTTCAGTTCTTTGGAATATATACCCAGATATGAGATTGCTGGATCATATTGCACTGGTATATGAGGGAACCTCTTCATAGTGGTTGTACCATTTCACAGTCCCAGGAACAGTACCCAAGGGTTCCAATTTTCTTAACTAAGTTTTAAGCTTAGATATTTTATGTTTATCTACTTTTCTGTAGCCTAGGGTAATGATGGCAGCTATGCATAAGGGGTCATTGTGGTGGGGATGTCGTTTGGGAAGAACTCAGCCTTCAGCCTACTTACTGGGGGTCTTTTGTTAGAATCCCTGGGTTCTGTTCTTTTTAAAAAGCTTTTAGTGAATGTTTTCTTCAGCTAATTGAGAGCCATATATTATTCCAGTGATGCTCAGGTTATTTCTTCAATTCATTTTGGAGTCTAGGAGTTTTTCTTCAGGCACAAAGATTATTGTGCTATTTTTATTACTCTAGTCAGAAGAGAGAAAAAAAGAAGACAAGAATAACTACTGAGTTTGTTTCTATCTATATTTGAGCGTAATAATGACAGTTATCAAGAATTTGTCATTTGACAAGTAGGGCTTCTGGAGGTTTAGTGGGCTTGGAGCTGAACCATGCTGTGCCTTTTTGTTTTACCACAGTCTTGGTAGTTTTCAGTTTTGAATGGTTACCTGTAAATTTCTTTTTACTTGTTTTACTTGTTTCTTTTTACTTGTTTACTTGTAATAAATTTTCCTTTTGACTATTTTTAATGTTCAAAGGAATATATGTTTTTGTTCATATCATCAGGTAATTTAGGAGAGAAATTCTGTGATGTCTGTTATCTGAACCTGGAAGTTCATGTAATTTCCATCCACACATTTTTGACAATAACAATGAATTGAAACCTGTTTTGGGTGCCACATTGATGGTTCATAAAATTATCAGATACAAGTAGTTACATAAAAATATTTAGTAAATAGTTTAAGATAATGAAGTGATTTAATTTGTGCCATGTGTTAGATTCAAGATAATAACCATAAATAAATGTCTGCAGGTTAACAAATACGTATTTGGGAAAGTAATTAATTAATAATAGTTTCTTAACAAAGTATATCTGTCCTAAATCAATATGTTCTTAGTCATTTTAGGTGGTTGTTTGTGGATTTTCTGTCATGAAATTAGATAACAAAAACCCTGCTTAGTTTCCTAGAAAGAATATGAGGAAAGAAAAATAGTTTTAGGTCAAAATATATTAAGAATTAAAATTTTGTGAAATACTGCATTATGTACCTATAATCTTTTTAAAAAAATATTTGCTTTAGAGGGCGGGAGAGAGAGAGAGAAGTGGAGAGAGGGACAAAGGGAGAAAATCTCCAAGCAGACTCTCCACTGAGCATGGAACTGTATGTGGGGCTTGAGCCCACGACCCATGAGATCATGTCCTGGGCCAAAACCAAGAGTCAGGCACTCAATCGACTGAGCCATCCAGGCACGCCTGTCTTTTAATGTCCTTTATCTCTTTTCTGTCAAGGTGCAGGATTTAAGTTTTTTTTCACTTACTGGCTATGATATATAATACATTCTCTTGTCCTGTTCCCTTTGATCATAGTAGGGACATAGAACCAAGAAAGACTGGATGGATTGCATGGGGAATATATTTTATAATAAGGACAGCATTTATACCTGCAGATTTTGTGATATAGTTAGCCTGTAACAAAATTGAAAGCAATAATTTAACAAAATTATTTTAAAAATATTCCATGTATTTGGAATTTAAAATTTGTAGTTTCTTTATTTTAATAGTTGCTTAGTAACTCAAACATAAAAAAATGTAGCATAGTAATTCAAATAGAAGAAGCATAATGAGATATTTTCATATCATTTTACTTCAATAGAGTAAATTCATGACAGGGAGTTTTGGGATGTTGACAGTCTATTGATTTGATCTGGGTATAAGTGTGTTCATATTAGTGTTCCATCAGGTTGTATATATAAGGTTTATGTGCTTTCTGTGTCTATGTTTTATTTTAATCAAATTAAAGAACTTGCCATTAAAGTATGAAGAAACTTAACCTTCTTTTCTTTTTCAAGGAAATGATTATTGACAGAGTAAATGGACAGGCCGTTCCTAGATATTTGATATATGACATAATTAAATTCAATGTAAGTACCTTTAATATAATTTATAAAATAAAAATTGTCCCTGAGATAACAGATATGTTTTTACAAATAAAAAATGTTACTGTCTTAGAGATGGTAGGAAGGAAAAATTGTGACTCTAGTTACCCATTTGATACCTTATTAATAATTTTGCACATTGCTTTGTCTTTAGATTTTATAAGATACTTGAAATGAGTAAATAAAAATAGTTTAATTGATAAAATAAGACAGAATTTTTTAAGATGGAAACTCTTAGTTTTAGTTATCCTGTATACGATTAAAAAAAAAAGTCCACAGATTTTGTTGCTGTCACTTAAAAATAAAAAGAGAAGCTGGTTATGGGTATTGAATGTATAACTTAGGGGCACAAATATGTTATTCATGAGTACAGGCAGGAAACTAAAAACAAAATATAAAATTCTGTTATAAATAGATATAAAAAATAGGAATTATATTTTCTATCCATTTCCTATAGTTTTAGGCAAGCCAAGAATCTGCCTGTTCATGTTTAATTATAGTATCAGTATCTAAATTATTTAGTCAGTACAACATCACTTCTGTAAATGTGAGAAACTGTTTCAATAGTGTACATCTATGAAAAGGTATAATCATTCCTCTAGACATATATTATTCAAATTGCATAGTCATTTAGTATTCAGACAAGACTGAAAGCAATTAAGAATTCTGGAATTAAGAGTGTTTAAGTTTTAGAATTTTGGAGATTTATAACAAAATTTTTAAAAAATTCCTTTTTGGGATATATATTTTAAATGACAGTATTGAGATTCAGGATTGCATTAATCCACTTTAAAGGCATCTTTTTCCTAGAAATTTTCAATGTACATATTTCATTTTCTGTTGAATTTATAGATTTCAAAAAGTTTCCTAGGTCAGAAACCATCAAGTTTTAATTTTGTCTGTTTGTGATTACTATATTCCTCAGTAATGCTTCCTAGAATTGGCTTACTCTTATCATAGATTTTGGAATAATGTTCATTGGCCCATAATGAGACATGGAGGGTGGGAGTGGCATTGTTTTGTTGTGAAGAGGGGAGTTTTGTCTCCTTTGCCTTTTGACATTGAGCTCTGCTTTAATATGTATTCCGTGCAGGTTCACTTCTTAGCCTGGGAGCTTTGTCTTTGACAATAGCCTTCTAATTCTTTTAAAAAAATATGAAAATTTTCAGTGTATACAAAAGTATAGAGCATAATATGAGGCATACACATGTACTAACCACCGGATTTGTTAAAGCTTAATATTTTGTCATTTTTACTCCACTTTCTTTTTAATAAGAAATAAGTCATTACAGATCCAGTAGAAGTTTCTCATGCACACCTTACTATTCTATTTTTGACCCTCTTACCCGGAAGTAACTTCCACCCTGTATTTGATGTTTATTATTTCTATGAATGTTTTTAATAACCTTACTACCCATGTGTGTGTCCATAAAATATATGTGGTATTGTTGTGCAAGGTTTCTAGTGTTACATATATATTATACTGTACTGTGGTACTGAACATTTACTCCATGTTATTTTGAGGTTTATCTTTATTAATACACATAGGTTTAGTTCATTCAGTTTAATTACTGTTGAGTATTGTTTGTATAAATATAAAGAATTTGTCTGTTTTCCTTTTGATGAACATTTGAGTTGCCATATTTTGCTGTTCCACTGCTATTAAACAGTTTATATATTCTTGTGTGCATACATCAGAGTTTCTCTAGGACAATTCTTATTCTTGGGATGTAAGCACCAGCGGTGTTTTTTAAAAAGTACAGTTCCTCTCACCCCTACCTACATCATAGAGATTCTGACTGATTGGCAACTTCAGGTGTATGCGCTGCGTTGCTGAATTCCTCTCAGAAGTAGGTCTAACAGCTTACTGCAGTTGGTATTATCAGAGTTTAAAATTTTTGCTAATTGGATGTGTGTGAAATGGCATCTGATCTTGTTTTAATTTGCTCTTTCATTATTACTAATGAAGTTAAGCCTGATTTGTTTGTTCATTTTTACTTGTTTGGATTTTTCTTTTGAGATTTAATTTTAAATTCGAATAATTTTCTAATTTTTTCTAATTTTTCTGTTTGGTTGTCAGTCTTCTTAATGTGTAGGAATTAATGATCTTTCCTGCATTCTAATCCTTTTTTGGTTATGTATGTGACAGTATTTTTTGCAAATTAGTATCTATTGATGCACAGGAATTTTTTGTTTTCATGAAGTCAGACTTAACTAGATCTTCTCAAAGTTTGTGCTTTTTTTTGTCTTGTTTAGGAAATACATCCATATTTTGCTGTAAAAATGATTAAGTTATGCTAATTTTAGTAGGTCTGATTATTTACTCAGTAAGTATGTATTGAGTGCCTATTGCCATATTTCATTGATTTTAAAGTCACATTTTCTCTCAAGTTTCTGATATTAAGATGTATTTATAATTGGAAGCATCATATATTTAATTCTTTAAGTTACTGATTAATTTGATGATTAACCAGCTTATTTTGAGTCATAAAATCAAGGTCACTGTTAGAAAAAAATGAAGTTTTGAAAAAACATAGTTAAAATCTTTTAAGTTCCCTTAGTTTATTTTGTCCATCAAGAATTTCATTGATCATCTTTTATATGTCAAGTGTTGTTCTAGGGATTGGATATACACAGATGAATAAGACATAATTTCTTGCCTTCAGGGAATTTGTAGTTCAGTACACTGCTTCCAAAGAAGGCCATTTCAACGGTGGGATTTGGGAAGAAAGTGGAACTTATTTTTTATCTGTTTATTCAGTTTTTGTCTGTTTTATAACATATATGGTTGTACATATATGCAACTTATTAAAATTTAACATGCATATATTGTAAACATTTGTTAGGATATGTATTTAGATTGGGTGCAAAATCAAAAGAAATTTGTAAACCATCGATTTTATGGATGAGAAATAAATGTAAAGAAATAATTATAATAGTATAACAACAATAAAGGTATGTTAGAGATACTGGAATATATAAAAAATACTAGAGAGGTGAAACTGTTTCAGTTTAACCAGAGTTAACATGGATTAATTTTGAAGGATAGAATCATGGAGGTCAGGAACATTAGAGGCTATTAGTGTACTTAATGTGTGGTAGGATGTGGGACATAGCAAGAAATGAAAATAGATTGTTGAATAGGGGGCCAGGTGACTTGAATAAGGCAGTTTAGCTTAGTCCTGGCTGTAATAGGGCACTCACTATTGAAGGGTGTTAGTTAGGGTAATGATAGGATCACACGTTCATTGTTTTGAAAGACAACTCCAGTGACAGCATGGGTAGTATTTTGAAGTGAGAAAGAATTCAAAACTAGGAAGCCAGTTAGTGAATAGTTATTGAGTTCTTTCTGTTGTCTGTTTTCAGTGATTTAACACCTACCTAACAAACACTTCCCTTCCTATATAGGCAGCATAGATTTGAAGGTGAACTCGCTTTCAGTTTTTTTCTTGTTGTTTTGGTTTATGTGTATAGTGAAAAATATTTAGGAGAAAATTTAGAATACCTAAGTATTTTTAGACAGTGGTTAGATTATATTATTTTTTAAAAAATGGACGACTTCTTCTACATTAACTTTTTAGGGGTCTGAATTCATTTAATAGGTCTAATAAATAAGCCTAACATTTTAGGTTTTTCAACCTTGATGTAGGTGATGTGGAAAAGATTATACATGGACTTTGTGATTGTTTACTGATCTTTCCTCAATACTACCTTTTACAAACAGTTGTATGCCTTTGTGTAAAGGGAATGTATATTTCCTCATACTTAGGGCTTACTCTCTTTGTCTTGTTCCTTATTCTTTGCTAAGTATCAAAATTGTCATCCTTCCAATAGAAAAAGTCATCCTTAAGGCATATTTAATGTCCACAGCTTAAGCAAATATTGTCACCTATTTGTAAGCATTAGGTTGTTTAAATGTAGGTTGAGTAATATAGATTAGAGAAGAGGAAGAAAATGAAGAGGTGAGAAGAATTCATGGAAGACTGTCCAATTGCAAAGTAGAGAAGAGCGGTACTTGATATGAGGTGACGATACTAATCTGGACAGTTATTGTCACCCAGATGAAATGTTAGAAGTTGTATTATTATATATCATTAAGATAGGGTAAGCCCCTACCTTCAATTTACAGAAAAATTCTATTCACTTTTTACTTTATGATTCAAATCATGTATACCACATATATGTATGTACCATATTGTATATATACTGTATATGGAGAACTTTCTTTATATAACTGAGTATATTATGGAGACTTTGATATTATTAGTTTTTAGAGTTGAGGATGTATTTGTCTAATAATTATCTTTTACTTATTGATGATGGCTGTAAAGCATTAGTGTGTTAAGCAACAAAAACATTATAAGTGATTGTTTCTTATTTTGATATGTTATTTGCTTATATTTTCCTGAATTATGTGGATTGTAGTTTTATACAGATTCTACTAATTGATATAATTTTACTAATTCAAATAAAATGATTAGTGAGTATATTAATACTTTAATTCAGATGTGATAACTTCAGATCAGTATATATTAGAGAAGATTTATACCACCCTCCCATATTATGTTATGCATTTATAATTTTAAAATAACCGTGTATGTGTTTAGGTGTCTTTAATTAATGAAATCAGGACTGGCATGTGTGGTTGTGCAGGCTGTGCATTGGACAACTCCAAAGGATGCTGTTTACATAGACGCTATGTATACTGTGACAGCCTTAATAATTATACTGATAAGATAGTTTCAGTGTTGAAATTTAAATAATTGTCTCATTTAATTCAGGCACAGCCAGTTGGAGATTGTGATTTTAATATTCGTCTGCAGTGTATAGAAAGAGAAATAATAAGTCCTCGACATGAAAAAATGAAGACGGGGCTCATTGACAAAACACAGGAACCATTTAGTGTCAGAAATAAGCCATTTTTTGACATCTATACTTCAAGAAAGGTAAAATTTTCTAATTAGTACTTACAGTGTGTCATAATTCAGCTTGTGAGAGGACTATGAATGACATTTTACTGCCCAGTTGTCTTGATTTTTTTCAGAAATTATTTTATTGAATATAGCACTATTCTGGACAAACATGTGCAATTCCCAAATCTTGTCCAGAGTAAGATTCTCAGTGGTAGAAACTTAAACTGGGTTACTTTCTTGTTTTTCATAATAGTTTTTGATTCATGGTCAGTGTTATGTTTTTTAAAAAGCTGTAAACAATGATCTCGGAAAAAAAAAAAGCTATAAACAGTGAAGAATGGTATAGTGTGAAAATCACCTGTTATGCCTTCTGAAGGTAACCAGTGGTTGGTACATACTCTTATTTAAAAAATTCATTTGCATGCACACATATATTGAGAGTTTTATTTCTGTTTTTTTTTTTTTTAAAGATTTTATTTATTTTTTTGACAGACAGAGATCACAAGTAGGCAGAGAGGCAGGCAGAGAGAGAGAGAGAGAAGGAGGAGGAAGCAGGTTCCCTGCTGAGCAGAGAGCCCGATGCGGGACTCGATCCCAGGACCCTGAGATCAGGACCTGAGCCGAAGGCAGAGGCTTTAACCCACTGAGCCACCCAGGCTCCCCTATTTCTGTTGTTTTGATGCTTAAAATGCATCATACTGAATCTTCTTGGATTGTTGTTTTTTCATTTAACAGTGTGGCTTGGAAATATTTCAGGGCCAGGGCTTAGATATTAAATTTTTAACTGCTACATAGTATTTGACAGTAAAGATGAACCATGAAATTATTATGTTTGGAGAAGAATGGTGATATGATAGATATCATCTATCATATAATAGATATGATTCTATTCCTATAGAATAATATAGGAAGTATAACAACATACGTAATTGCGTGTTTTAAACTCCTTTGTCGTATAATCTCACTTGCCTGATGATATAAATTTTTGTTGTATCTTACCTGCTTCTGCTCATATCCACTTAATTTGATATTAACCCTTGGATATAATAGTAGCAGTAATCCCAGCACTGCCCAGTGCCCATCTTTTTAACTGTCAAGATATACAAAGCTATCATTCTATTTTTATTGATATGTTGCGTAACACCTGCTTGTCATGGTTGACATAATTGATCTCTGCTGCTGTGCTCTTCCCACAGTTCACTGCTTGCCTTTTGTGTCTGTTGTGGTAGCAGGGATGTTATTGGGGTATTTACCTCGGGGCCCTGCTCAATCTGTAGGGTAAGAACAAAGTTGACTGACAATTAACGTGGGCCATGGCAGTGGTGAAAATTGGCTAACTGGAGCAATGTACTCTTACAGAAATACTTTTGAAATTATAAATCAGTGTAAAAGTTGGGTAGAAGCCACATGGTTTCAGTTTGCATTCAGTTTAAAAAAAAATAACTTGACAGCTTGTGCTGTCGTAATTCAAGTTCAGCATTTAAGAAAATGTGTCTTAGATCATATATCTCTTGAGTCAGAATCAGTGCTACTTCGAAATATTTGCGGTGGATAACTATTAGAACTGTTCTTTAAGGATATGCTACAGTTGGGTTGAACAATTTTTCATGAGTTTTTCACTAGAAAAACTTTTTTTCTTTATTCTTAGCTTATATAACCACTTTAAAAAAAATCCTAGGATATTCTCTTTTTAAAGGAATACTAGTTGGAATTTTAACTGTAACTCTCTCCCCCCATTTTCCAGTTATTATTCTTTTGTTCCCAGTTATACAAAAGGAAAGTGCATTTTGTAGCAGACTTGTTCTAAAGGGTAAAACTGTAGTAACACCAGGTACAGGATAGTAGCTACAGTTAACAGATTATTGCTGTAGAGATTCTTATTATTTTTATCACTGCTAATGGGAATGGGTGAACTAGTGATATTATGAATGATAAAGTGTTTGTGAGAGGTGTATATATCATTTTTATGAAGAATACTAGTTTTTATTTGGTTTTAAACAAAGTTTACAACTCTGAAGAGTGCATATGTTTTTGCAGAAAATAATAGAATTTCATTTCTGTATATCTATAAAATTGTGGTGATAACTTTGATTTTAGGACTTTATGTAGCTCTGTTAAAAACTTACTCAACTTGTCATTTGAGCCCAGTGAAGAGATAGTGAGTTGTTCAGTTTTTTTTTAATATACATAGTTAGAATATAATATCCAGTATGGTAAAAAGAAGTAGCAACTTCTCAAATTATAACTTATTTGTATTTACAGCTAGAAAGCCAGTTAAAAAAGAATTATAAATTTTCAAAGTCATGTAGCAAAGTTTCTCTGAAAGCTTCCTATTCATTTATCACCTCAGAAGAACAACCATTGCCATTAGCACTAACTATATCCGTCAGAATTTTCCTCTGCATATATAAGCAAATACATTTATTAATATTCTTACCAACCTAATCCAAAAGGTGATTATTAACACACTGTTCTGTGCTTTGAACTTTTTTTTACTTAACAATACATTTTGAGTCCCCTTGCCCTATTGGTATGTAGAGATCATCCGTTTTTTTTTTTTTAAACAAATGTGCAGATTTCCTTCTTATCAGTGTACCATAATTTAACTTTTAGCTTAGACATTTGAGTTGTTTTTTGTTGTTTGGTAGATTTTTGTTTATTTGTTCTGCGTATGAATATCCGATTGTTTCTGCACCAGTTCTTGAAGAGACTGTCCTTTTCTCATTGATTTGATTTTACATCTTTGAAAACTGAGTTGTCATGTATGTTTAGGTCTTTTTCTAGTCTCTCTGTTCTATTCCCTTGATTGTGTTTGTCTTTTTACACTAGTACCATACCATCTTGATTACTTTTCAGATTAAATCTTCAATGGGATAGGATTATTTTCCAACTCTGTACTACTTTCTTGAAGTTGTTTTGGCTATTCTTGGCCTCTGCATTTTCATATGAATTTTAGAATAAGCTTGTCAGTGTCTACAGAATCCATGCTGGAATTTGGATTGCAATTGGATTGACTATATTTAGGGGGAAGAATTGGTACCCTAACAATGATGAATTTTCGAATTCATCAACCTGGTATTTTTCTCCTTTTAATTTAAAGGTCTTTAATTTCTCTCGGACATTTTTGTAGTTTTTAAGGATCAGGTTTTACTCATCTGACTCTTTTCAGTTTATTTCATACTGTTTGATATAAATACTATTTAAAAATTTTCCATTTCTAATTGTTGATAATGTATAGCAATACATTGATTTTTGTATATTGATTTTTTTCTTGTAGTCTTGCTAAACTCACTTATTCTTCTATTAGCTTTTTGTAGATTTCATCAGTTCTTTTTACATAGACAAGCATGTAATCTATAAAAAAGGGGCACTTTTACTTTTACTTTGCATTCTGGATACCTTTTATTTTTTTCTGTTGCCTTTTGCACTGGCTAGACCCTCTTATTTAATGTTGAATGGAAGTAGTGAGAGTGAACAGCCTTATTTGCTCATTTTCTTTGGAGCAGGAAAAGTTTGTTTTTAACTATTAAGGGTGGTGTTACCTGTAGGACTTTAGCAGATGCCTTTTATACAAGATAAGTTTTTAAATTTGAAAGCTTTTGATTTTAGTATGCTAATTTTATATATTTCTCACTGTATTTTGATACTCTTTGTAATAACAGTTGATTCTCTTGGGTTTTCTAGGTATTAATCATATTAAGTACAAATAGACATAGTTTTCCTCTTTAGATTTTTCATACATTAATTTTTCTCTTATTCAATTATGCATGAGTACAATTTTAAATTGTAGTGATAGTTATAGGGATCCTTGTCTTGTTCTTGATTTGAGTGGGAATGCTTCTGGTGATTCTTAAAAGTATATTGCCTTTGAGTCTGGAATCTCTTTTATCAGGTTAAACAAGTGTCTGATTCTATTTTTACTAAGTTGTTTTGCTTTTAATAAAGAACAGGTATTCGGTGTTGTCAGATGGCTTTTTATCTTCTATCGGTATAATTGTTTTCTTTTTCTGTTAGATTTGTTTATCTTATGAATTATATGGAAATATGTCCTGATGTGAAAAGCCCTACTTAATCTTAATGTATTGTTGTTATTGTTTTTAAAGACTTTATTATAATTTCTTTAGAGCAGTTTTAGGTTCACAACTTATTATTTTTTTTTTTTTTTTAGTTTCAGGTTTTTGTTTAAATCTTAGTTAGTTAACATACAGTACAGTGTAATTTTAGTTTCAGGTATAGAATTTGGTGATTCTTCATACATATGACACCCAGTGCTCATCACAAGAAGTGTCCTCCTTAGTACCCATCACCTATTTAACCCATCCCTCTGCCCACCTCCCCTCCAGTAAGCCTCATTTTGTTCTCCATAGTTAAGAGGCTGTTTTCTAGTTTACCTCCCCTCCCCCATTCATTTGTTTTCTTTCTTAAATTCCATATACGAGTGAAATCATATGGTATTGTTTTTCTCTGAATTTTGCTTAGCATGATACTCACTAGCTCCATCCATGTCGTTGCAAATGGCAAGATTTCATTCTTTTTAATGGCTGAATAATACTTCATTGCGTGTGTGTTTGTGTGTATGTGTGTGTATCCATTCATCAGTTGTTGGACAGCTGGACTATTTCCATAATTTGGTTATTATTGATATTGCTGCTATAAACATCGGCGTTCATGTATCCTTTTTTAATTTTTAAATTTATTTTATTTATTTATTCGCAAAAGGATTTTATTTATTTATTTGACGGAGATCACAGGCAGGTAGAGAGGCAGGCAGAGAGAGAGGGAGAAGCAGGCTTCCTGCTGAGTAGTAGAGAGCCCGATACAGGGCTCAATCCCAGGACCCTGAGATCATGACCTGAGCTGAAGGCAGAGGCTTAACCCACTGAGCCACCCAGGTGCCCCAACATCCTGTTAAACCAGTATTTTGTATCCTTTGTGTAAATACCTAGTAGTGTAATAGCTGGATCCTAATGTAGTTCTATTTTTAACTTTTAGCAACCTCCACACTATTTTCTAGAGTGGCTGTACTGGTTTCC